TCACCACAGGCCAATGAAATATTAGGCGTCTTCAAGTTCGTGTAGCTCTAGTAACGGTTGATTGTAGGTCTCGCATCTTAGCCGTGCTTGGTACGTTTAAACATCGACCTGACCATTTGGGGACAGTTCAAATGTATGAGATAGCTAGCACCTCGTTTCCCTTGACATTGACAACGACTCCCACCAAATCGTGTCCTGCTGATTTTTCTCTAATACATTAGTATTTACGCCGCCGATTTTGTAAGCACTATCGACCTCAAGTTTGTGTGTTTTAATAAAGTGGGTTGTTGTGGATTGTCTGCGTAATCTTCAACTAAGACACCACATTCTCATCAGTAAACGCATTTCATGGTGTGAGTGTAAAGAATAATAAAATTACTTCATTCATCTTTGATTCTTAAATGGTTCGGACGCGACTGGAATGCAAACGCAGCCAGTGTTTAGTGCGCCGATTAATGAAAATGTGACAGCTCTTGTGACGACCACATCTTTCAAAATGGTGATCATCATCGTGGGGTTTATTTCGATGGATACTTATAGCCGATGGAAAGGCATTCGTCAGAGCCTCCATTACCCTCATCCGCCTCACGAGATTACACCTTTCAATATTTCCACTTCTTGTCTGTCGCCCTTAACTTCAACGCTGTCAATTGTGAGTTGCCTCTCGACAGTAATAAAGAGTGCTGCCATCTCTACTTTCAAGTATTGCATTCAACAGTACAAGCGTTTAGACGCTGCTCTGCTGCTGCTGCTGCTCAATGGTAGTGCAATGCAAGAGTTGCGTCGTAGGAAGATGGCAGGTTGCTTCGGTAGAAAATGATTTGACGAGCCAGGGCTGGAGTCAATATCAAGGCTAATTTCCACACAAACTGGCGGCAGCGCTAGCAGCAGCTGCAGTAGTAGCAGCAGCAGCAGATACTAATGAATAAGTAAGGGACCTAGAGTGAGCACGGGGAAGGCGAATCCAATTGCCCTAATCACCAGCTTCTTCCAACTTGTAGTCTTGTGAAGCACGTCTCAAACTAGCGCACGTTCCAATACCAATTCAAGCCCATTGTTCATATGGCACGACGCATTAAGGCTAAATGCGTCGGCAGTCCAAACCAACCTGCCTATTCAACAATCCATCCACCCATCGCATTGCCAGACCACAGTTAATCCGCTTTCCTTGTAATTACTTCCAAATTGCTACCTGCTTTGTCCATCCCCTCCCCACCACAATACCTGCCTGCCACCCCTCAATCCCCGCCACCCATCCACACACCCCACCCTATTCTACCTTTAAACCCCACCACAGAAGAACACAAAGAAGAAGAAGAAGACGACGACGAAGAAGAAGAAGAAGCAGAGGTAGAAGCAGGAGTCAAAAACGCACCATCAAACAAGGATACAGTGCATTGAGGTGTCATTCATTGACGACTGACAATAACACGCAACTCACCACACCACATCATGGCACACTACTAGACAGCACTGCACAGCACAGCACTGCACAGCCCTCATCGAGCACGTACCGAGGAAACGAAATGTGAGCAGACTGGCGGCCTCGGCACTCCCGTCTCCTGTGAACCAACTGCTTCCAATTTCCAACCCTAAACCCTTGTTTGCTGCATGTGTCACCCTGGAGAAGCACAAGCAGCAGCTGCAGCAGCAGAGGGAGGATGAGGAGGAAGAGAGATGATGCGAATACGTCCACAAGCCTACCCTCACCCACACCCACACCAACTACGATAGCAACAACAACAACAGCGACAGCAAGAGCAGCAACTGCAACAATCACAAGTGGTGGCCCTAAAGAGGGCCGTTGGAGCGTTCGCACACAGCCACAACCTGCGGTGGCTGCTTTCAGTGTGGGCTTGACCAGATTAACCACCAAAGCCGTAGAGAGTACGACCTTGGCGTTTCAACGCACAGACCACATCCACGTGCTTTGAATCCAATTAGAGCAAACATTGTTTGCCAGTAAAGTATGTGTACTTTAGGCACACTTTTTACCAATTTAGAGCCCTTTGCCCTTAGTCGTCCACTTCAAGTTGTTCGTCAGTGCCTTCTCATTCTCCTGACGTAGCTTTCTCTACTGCGCTCGCTCCTGCTCTTTCTCTCTTAGCGACTACTCAGCGATTGGAATTGCGCTAGGCTCTGCCACTTGCTCGAGCAACAACAATTACGCTTGCAACCTTTTTATTCACTTGAATGCACAGCTCTCCTGTAC